TGAGTGGAAGGCCATGGTGAAGTTCTGAGCGGAAAAAGCCGCAAGCTAGCGGAGAAGTAGAGGAGGGGACGGCTCCGGTTCGAGGTCCCGAGATTTTTGTAGCCCCACCCTCCCTAGAGCCGCGTGTGACTTCACCGCACCTCCAGATGCCGGATCCAAAAAGAGCAGGCTTGAGGCGATGATGACGCTCTTTGTGGGCTATAACTTCCTGCAAACCATGCTGAGCTTTCTGTCCAAGCATGGGCTTTCTGTCCAAGCATGGGCCGGAGTCCTCAATGAGCCCACCATCCTTCAACCTTCAAACCGAGGGGACAAAGCTCCACACAGGGTTCCACCATAAGAGATTCATCCCTCGACGCTCCGCGGCCCTTTCAGCTGGATCTGCTTCCCTCTCCGCTCGGCCCCTTCGTTCCCTCGGTGACTCAGCGATGGCTCGCACTTCCGCACTTTCCAAGGCCCTGCTCGCGGTGGGCGCGGTGTCAGTTCCCTCGAAGCGAGCAGCTTTTTTTCAACAATGTTGGTACGGGGTATTATTATGAAAAGGTTGGAGCAACTGCAAGAACCTCCCTTGACTACCCGTAGAATATGTCTTCCCTGCGCAACCCAACATAGGGGGCCTGAATAATTGTCTGGTGGGTCCTTACAAAAATTCAACAGGAAACGCACACCAACACCCTATTCTAATTTCCCCTCTCTTGCTTGGTTCCTAGCGCCGTCTCACAGAGACTCCCTTCCCCTTCTTCCTTGCATAGAGACCAACTCCTGACCTGGTGGGCTTTACTGGTATGGGGGTTTCCGGGTTTACGGTTCACCGGTTCAGGATCATGCCGAGGCCCACTATACTACAATTATAATGAGGAGCCTCCAAAATAGTACTGGTAGTTATATGAGGCATCTGCAGTTCAGGTAGAGCTCCTTTTTCAGGAAGCCTCAACGGACAGCCTGCTAAGGTGCTGCAGCTTTTCCGTCACGAGGAGGCCTTCGTGCCTTCGAAGATCCAGGGCCAGGCGCAATTGTGGGCCCGTGTAGTTAGCGTTCCCGAAACCCTAAAGGTTTGGGTTGCCGTGCGCCCTAAAAAAATGGGGCGGTTTAGGCTTTCAGTTGGCTGTCAGTTGGACGTTGGGACCAGGCTGCTGCCTCCATGGCCGCCGCGCTGATGGCCGCCAGCGTCGCCGCCGGCCCCGCACAGGTCAGGGGCATGTTTGAGAGGATCTTCGGGTTTAGGGTTTAGGGATGTTTAGGGTGTAGGGATGAGGATCATCCGCATGCTCATCTTCTTTGAAGTTGTAGCGGGATCTTGGCTGCTGCGAGTGCACCGGTTTGTGTCATGAGCACACAGCTTGACTTCTCCGCCGGGCGGCTTTGGTATCGGTGCGGCATGTCGGCTAGACTTGAGTCCAGCACTCCTAGCAAAAGAAGGATGATGATCTGCATGTTGCCTGAAAGCGCAACAAAAGGGTTGGCCTCATACGACCTGCTCAAAAAAGGATTTCCTTGGGCTTGTTGAAACCCTAGGCCCTAGGCGATTTCTGTGTGCACGGATTCCATTCAGGGGACCCTAGACCCTTCGCTTGTAAGTCAGAGTGTGAGAGCTTACACCCTTGGACTTTGTCCACTTCTTTGCAGAGCCCGGCAGATGTAAGAGGCACCACAACATGCCACAACACGAAAAACCACAACGCATGCCAGGCGGAGTCCCCGAAGCTGTCCTTCTTCGGCTTGGGCGGCGGTGGCTCGGATGACAGTGCCTGGGGGTTCGGGGATCTTTGGGGAGGGTGCGGGATTTTTGGAGGCATTAAGGCCCCTAACTATCTATCTATCTATCTATCTGTCTATCTATCTATCTATCTATCTATCTCTTCTAGAACCTTTAAAGGAACCCGTTTTATTACCCTTTATAACGGAACCCTATTCTAATAACATAAGCGCGCTAAACCCCTAAACCCTAAAACCCTAACTGCCTCGAGCTTCCGACTGCCAGCTCCGGAAGATGCCCCAGGCGTCTCGGATGTCTACAACCAGAACGACAACCCCGTCAACCCCTACTCGCAGTTCAGCGAGGTGGGCTCCGACTCTGTCTACAAGGCGGGCAGGGGGGGTCCATGGAGCTAGAGAGGGGTCTTGTTTTTTGAGTTGTGCGTTCAATGGCCCGGTATTTCAACAGAGCCCCCCATTTTATTCAGGATCCTTCTGTTGACCGCCGTTTTACACGGTGTTTAGGGTTTACATCAGGATCCCCTATCAGAATAAGGATCCTTCTCCACCGCATTTGCTGAAACCACCAAAAGCCCGACCACAGCAAAAACAGGAAAGACCGCACATCCGCAAGTCTAAATCCCTGCTTCAAGCCCTATCCCAGAAAGCGTCCAAGATCTCCATGAACCCCGAAACCCTAAATGCTCTGCCGAAGAAGGCAGAGAACAGCTTTACATATGGGCGCAAACGGCCCTAAACCCTAAACCTATAAGTTAGCCCTCCCTAAACCCTAAACCCTCTAAACCTATAAGCCCTCTGAACCCCAAAGCAGGGGCCCTGACATGGCCTTCCTTCTTTTGCCTTTTTTGTACCTCCGCCATGCCAAGGCCCGCACTGATCAGGAGGTGGCCAGGAGGAAGAAGGCACTTTAGGGACTGAGGGTTTAGGGAGTTTAGGGCCTTTAGGGAGTTTAGGGTCTAGGACTTTGGGTCGACGGTTTAGGGGTTTAGGGTTTAGGGGTTTAGGGGTTTTGGGGTTTAGGGTCTGGTGATTGTTCTTCATGGAGTGCTCTAGGCTTCATTTGAAGGTTTTCTCTGGGTTTTTAGGCCGTAACGCTTCGCGAAGCGGTTTTCACGGGGGCTGCTTTTTCCCGGTTCCGGGAGAGAGATCCCGAAGTCGTTAGACCCGAAAGGCCTGGGGTTACAGTAGTTGGATGCCATAGAAATTTGAGGAGTGAGCATAGTCTGTTTCTCAGGCTCCTAGCATATATATATATACATACATACACATACATACATACAGAACCATATTCCAAGACAAGCTTTATGAAGCCTGATAGATATACTCCAAGCCTTTGTTGCCAGCCTTGTTGTGATTTTTGATGTCCTTAATGTACAGCCCCTCGAACAGGCCTACACCCTAAAAGCTTTCCCTGAAAAACCACAAACTGTTTTGAGAGCCACTATAAAGCCCTTCTAGCCGTATCTACTCGTCTAAAACCCCTGTGAAGGATCTTTGACCCTAAGCCCCTAAACCCTGGAAGCGCTGAGCGGCGGTTTCAGGCCCTTACTGCGGCCTTTGAGCGATTCGACAAGACCGCAGTCTCTTGGGTATAAGGTTTAGGGTTGAGCAGTTTTGGGTTGGGTTTGAGGTTTCGGGCTGAGCACGACGGGTTGGGATCAGGGTTACTATGAAGGTTTTAGAGGTTCAGGGAATAGAAATTGGGGCGTGTTTTGGGCTAGCTCAGGGTATTGGGTTTAAGGCCACAGAATTTCGATATTTTGTTGAGGGGGGAGGGAGAGTTGGGAAGTCTAGACAGTTTTCGGTCGAAGCGTCATATAAGAGATTCGAAATCCCCAAACCCCAAAAATCGCAGCCGCTCCCCACCATAAAGTCGAAGCGCGGCCGCCCAGTTCTACATCAAGACGAAGCAGTCCCAGCAGTTGACCTCCAACCTTCAGGAGGCCGCCGGCTTCAAGCAGGACGGCAGCCTGCTCGCACGCATGCATGCTGGATGCATGTCTGTTTGTCTGTCTGTCTGTCTCTCTGTCTGTCCTTCTCTGTCTCTGTTTGTCTCTGTCTGGCTCTTGCATATCTCTCCGCCCGTCTCTCTGTGTGTCTCTCTGTCTGTCCCTCTCGCTGTCTCTGTCTCTGTGTCTCTCTGTCCGTGTCTGTCTGTGTGCCTGTCGGTCTGTCTGTGTAAATGTATATCTGTCAGTATGCATATATACATGTACGATGTATGGTCTGGTCTGGTTTGTTGTGGTGCGGCATGGTGTGGTATGGGATGGTATGGTCCGGGAAAATGTGTGTGTGTGTGTGTTTGTGTTTGTGTGTGTGTGCGTGTGTCTGTATGTATGCATGTATGTATGTATGTACGTATGTAATGTATGCATTAAATAAATAAATAAATATATATATATATGTGTGTGTGTTTGTGTATGTATATATGTATTGATGTAGGTATGTCTGTAATGTATGTATGTACGTACGTATGTAGGTAGGTAGGTAGGTAAGTAGCTAGGTAGGTAGCTAGGTAGGTAGGTAGTTATGTATGTATGTATGTATGTATGTATGTACAAGTGTCTCGGCCCGCGTGGAACGCGACATATAGTTAAAGAGGGTTTCCCATGCGGATATCAAGCCTCAGTCGGTGGCTGCAGATCCTCGCTTTGATCCCGATTCTGGGAGTTATTCATCGGAGTCTTCGACTGAATCCACGGTCAGCGAATCAAAAATGCAAGATCGACAAGAGATGGAGACAGCCCGAGTCCTGCAATGATGGGAAAAGCACGTGATGGCCAAACTTTGCGATTTCTACTTGGAATCAGCAACGCATGTATGTATGTGCGTACGTATGTCTGTCTGTCTGTCTGTCTGTCTGTCTGTATGTATGTACGTATGTACGTATGTGTGTAAGAGTTGTGTATTTGTCTTGTGCTTCTTGCCATAAGACTGTTTTCAAAGAGCTGTTGGGCTGTTGGGGTCTTTGGTGCAGGTTGGGCTTAAGGACTTGAGTCTTGTTTGGCCGCTTTTGGGGTTAGGGGTTGAGGGTGTATCGACGGGTTTAAGTTTAAGGGCTTGTGACTGAGTGGGCATTTAGAGTTTTGGGACTTCACTGTCTCTGGTTTGGTGTTCCCACGCAGTGTGTTGTTTCACTGCTCTGCTGTATGAAATGAACAGAAAGATATGATGTAGATCATACATACATACATACATACATGCATGCACATCGACCAACCAAACGACCGACCGACCGACAGAGAGAGAGAGACAGAGAGACATGGGGTACACTGTGCTGTTGAACTTGGCTTGTCTTGTTGTTAGGTTACTGCAGGTGTTTGATGTGCCTACACGGAGGCACACGGTACCTACTGTCGACCTGACAGCAACTCCAACCTAGAAAGACCCTCCATCTGTCAGATTGATGCATGAGGTTCCTGGAGCGCTGGGTAGCAGGTCTGCTGCTGCCTCAGGCCCCAAGCAAAGCAAAGAGAGAGACAGACAGAGACAGAGACAGAGAGAGACAGAGACAGACAGAGAGACAGACAGAGAGACAGAGAGACAGAGAGACAGACAGACAGAGAGACAGAGACAGAGACGGACAGACAGAGACAGAGAGATGTCCCCCTCCAGCCAACAAAACGTCGATAACATTTGCTTTGAATCCAATGACACAGTGTCTGTCCATGCTTTTTGATCTCACAGCAGATACAGCTCCTGATTGCCAAAAGCAAACACGGCGACAGATGCATAGACACATAGGAGACACACATCGACTCCTGCATTCAGAGAGAGGGGCACCTGGAGCTCGTGCTACCAAGATCCTGACGCGTTTCCTGTTGAAAGTGTCTTGCGTACCTGTCTCGCGGCACTGAAATGTCGGCACTCAAATCCTGATACGATTCCTCTTGCAAGCCTCTTGCGTGCTTTTCGGGCGGCCGTAAAATCGGATGCGTTTCCTCTTCAAAGCCTCTTTTTTGGGACATGCTCCCGGTACTAAAATTACGGAAATTTTATGACCGCGAGCATGCCTACCGAAAATGTCGGAAATTTTATTACCGGGAGCTTGTCACCCTCAAGCTACCAAAATTTCCGAAATTTTAATACCGCGAGATTTCCTAAAGCTACAAAAACTTCGGAAATTCTAATATGGGGAAAAAGTGCTCCCGGTACTAAAATTTCCGAAGTTTTAATCCGCGAGACAAGCACGCAAGAGGCTTTCAAAAGGGCAAAAGGACGAGGTTACAGGGGCCAGGGGCGCGCACAAAAAAACGGAGGCGACCAGCACGACAATGTTTCATTAGAGAATATATATATATATATAGATAGAAATATAAAATGTTTCCGCTGATTATC